GGCATCGCTCGCCTCTGGCTTGAGGCCAGCAGCCCCCGGGGAGCTCGTCATGATTTCGGGATGGTGCTCGCAAAACGCGGGGAGGGCAGGTGCTGAGAAGGAGCCCGAGGTGTTTCCGCAGCCAGCAGAGGCCCTGCAGCCCTTTTCTTTCCAAGCCGGAGGAAGAAGGGAGCGCCGCTGGCTCTGCCGCGGGTGAGGGCTCTGTCCCAGGTGGACAGCGCTGACCTCAAGGCTCTGCCCGTGGCCTCTCCCTGCTCCCAGATTTCCTCCCTCTCAAGTGTGATGCCTGCGAGCAGATCTTCTGCACTGACCACATCGCTTACGCCCAGCACGACTGCACCTCTGCCTACAAGAAGGTAAGTGCTGAGAGTCCAGCCTTCTGCACAGGGCTGCTGATTTTCCCCAGCCAGGGATCAGAATAGTTTGTGACTTCTTTGGTTACTTGGACAGTCCCCCTGGGATGTGTGCTGAGGCTGAAGGTGGATCTCTGAAAGCCAGTATCTCTCTTACTGCTGCAAACTTCCAGCCCACCCTCTGCCACTGGGTGAAATGGTTTGAGTGTCTCCCAGCCATGCTGTTTTCTCTTCCCAGAGCCTGTGTCTGTGCGTGTCACACCCACTGGGTTAGAAACAGCAACCTGTTTGGAAGGTGTGAGCAGGATCTCAAACCACAGGTCATGCTGTGAAAGCCATGGCAGGCACATCCTGAAAGGGAGAGAGATGGCTACACAGCACTCAAGGTTGCCCAGCTGTGTGCTTCCAACCCATTTCTTTTGTCTCTACAGGATGTCCAGGTCCCTGTGTGTCCCCTCTGCAACACCCCGGTCCCTGTGAGGCGGGGGGAGATGCCCGATGTCGTGGTGGGTGAGCACATTGACCGTGACTGCAAGTCTGACCCTGCACAGCGCAAGCTCAAGGTAGGAACCTGGCACTCTCCATCTCACTGCTGGGTCCCTGCTGGATCCTGGGGGTGGGATGGAAACAACACACGAAACTGCCCTGCCTAGGGCTGTCTCTGTTTGCACAGGCTGAGGGCACAAAGGGTTGTTGACCTGGAGATGTGTGCATCTGCAGGGCTTTGTGGTGTGAGTCTGGGGCTGAGACAGCAATGGAGTGGGCCTGGGCATTCACCTGGGATTTGAGGATAGGAAACTGCATGCTGCCATTAGGAAAACGCAATCAACAATTAGCTACTCCATCTTGCCAGGAGAGGAAATTGCTACAGGGAGCTGGCCACACAGGAATCCAGCCCAGCAGCAGCCAGAGGGCTCTGGGCTGTTCTCAACTTCCCTGGCAGGGCAGGCAGGAATTCCTGGGTGAGGAAGGGTCTCTTCTGCTATAATTATGTGATTGTGCAGACCCTTGTCTGTGGAGACTAAAGCAGTCTGATGAATTTCTGATAAACTATCTAAAGAAAACGAGTATTCAGAGATAAACTCCAGAGACCCAGAGGGAGGCACTGGTGGGGAAAGCTGGTCAGTGTCCAGAGCCTGGTGTGGAGGGAAGGGACAGCCCCAGCCCTGCAGGGCATGCTCCCTTTCACCGCCTCCATGTCATCTTGCAGATCTTCACCAACAAGTGTTTGAAGCCTGGCTGCAAGCAGAAGGAGATGATGAAGGTGATTTGTGACCAGTGCCACAAAAACTACTGCCTCAAGCACCGGCATCCCCTGGACCATGACTGCAGCGGGGCAGGGCGTCCACTCTCCAAAGCAGGGTGAGGGCCAGGGGACAGACAGGCTGGCAGGGATCAGGCTGTGCTTGCCATATGGGTGACAGGGAAGAAGCCCAGCTCCTCTTGGCCTGTTGTCTGGGACTGCTGCATTCTCACAATCCCTGACCTATGTGCTGGGGTATTCTCCAGCAGTGTTAAGGTTTGTAGAGTCATCCCAGCTCTATACATAGCCTTCTTGTCCTGTAGCAAAAGCCTCTGGTACTGCCTCTTGGCTGTTCTGCTCTCTCTTGCTTCTCTGCCAGCCCCTTGTTTGTAGCTGACAGCTTCTGCCTATCCTGGCACAGTGTTTTGAGGAGAAAAACAGCACTTAAAACTCTAGGGCATAGCTGAGCCACAGCATGGCTACTCTTGGTAATAAGAGGAGCAGGGAGCTAGGGAGGTGTCTTGCTTATCCAGCTTCATCTCCCAGGATATTCAGTGCTGAGGGCTGGCTCATGGTGTGTAACAGTTCCTCACAGGCATCCTGTCTGTCTCAGGCATGCTGCAGTTGCGAGAGCCCAGGCGTCTGCCTCCAAAATGGTTGCTGCATCGAGCAGTGGAGCTGCCCGGCCAGCAGACAGCCCCTCTTCTCCAGCCGCTGCCAGGTGAGGCGGGCATGAGCCAGGCTCAGCTTGGCTCCCTGTGGGACACAGGAGCGGCAGCTCCCTGCTGCCTGTGCACCAGCAGGGCTGTGTGCTCATACCAGGGCTCACTGCCTTGACAATAATAACCCAGCTTCTCTCCTGTCCACAGAGGAGGCCGAGCAGCTGCACCACAGGCTCGCAGTACCTCCCCTTCAGCTGTCATGCTGCAGAACGGGCTGGTGAGTGGCCTGGTCTGGGCATTTGGGCTGGGTTTGGGTGGTTCCTGGGCCCCTGGGAGTTCCTGCAGCAGCTACTCTTTAACCCATGCTCTGTAGGTGACCGCGGTGCTCCCCAGCAGGGCCTTCCCTGGCAAACAGGGATCCTGGACACATCAGAGTTTGCTCTGATGCCTGTGAATGGCAGCTTTTGGCTGCACTTGGTGCTCAGCTTTCCCTGATGGGACTGGCTGTTTTCCCTAGGTGTTGTCTTTCTGTTCTGCAAGCCGAGGGTGGAGGAGACTGGAAGCTGCTTTCCACTGGTATTCTTAGTGTGCTCCCTACACTGGCAGGCAGGACTGTGTTCCTTTGGGCAGGGGGAGAGAGGTGGAGGTCTTGAGCCTCAGGGTTTCACCTTGGCTGTGTCTGGCCTTGGAGAGGGGAGATGCACCCATTCTTGGCCAGGCAAGACTGTACCTGCTGCATGTCCCTCAGGGCTGCCTCCAGCCAAGCTGGTGACAAGATGTTTTGTTTCAGAGTGAGGAAGAGGCTCTGCAGCGAGCTCTGGAGATGTCCCTGGCAGAGTCAGCACGCAGCTCAGCACAGCCACCCAGGTACGGCCCAGGGACATGGGCTGTCATGCCCCAAGCCTGTGTGAGAGGTGCTCAGGGAAGCATCATGTGGCTCCAGGGATGACATTCCTCTGGGCACATGTTTCCACATGATGCCTCTGTGGCTGACAGGAAGAGTCCAGAGCAATCACGGAGCTCTGTTGAGCAAGCAAGCCCTCCAGGGCACTGGGAGGGGACAGTGACTGACAGCACAGAGTGGGACAAACCATTTTCTGACGACTTGTCAGCTAATGAGCATGGCTAGAATGTGACACATGTGGTGTGGTGTAGGGGTGTGCACAGAGGACACCTGGGAGCCCACGCCCTTGGGCGCATTGCCTGGTGCTGCTACAACCACCAGTCCTACAGACTGGAGTTAATGTGGTTCTCCTTGACCCAGGGTGCTGGCTAGCAGCCACAGCTGCATCCCCTGGTTCCTCTCCAGCCCCTGGCTTGTTCAGAGTAATCCTCACTTGTCCTGAGGGTTGCACTGACAGGAGATCCTGCCACCCTGAAGGGCTCTGGGCGCTGGGGCCATGGGCCTGGGGGAGGCTGATGCACACAATGCACCACTATCCTCAGCAGCACACAGGAGGAGGAGGATCTGGCACTGGCCCAGGCGCTGTCAGCAAGTGAAGCCGAGTACCAGCAGTTGCAACGGCAGGTGAGTGGGGCTGGCTGCAGGCTCTGCACTGTGGTGGGGTTGATCCTAATCTGGCATATATTGTGGAGGGGTTCTCCCTGGGTTCTGCTTCCTCTGGGCCCTGCCTAGGGTCACATTCCTCACCAGGACGGCAGCCCAGTCTGGGGCAGTGACAGCATCACTGCTGAACACACAGCCCTGGGGACTTGAGCACTGGATGTGCCCCCTTGTAGGCCAGAGGAAGAAGCCCGTCTTCCCTTACTGTGTGCTTCTTCCCGTTCCAGGCGCAGGGTTCAAAGCCATCAAACTGCAGCATGTCATAGGCAGGTGAAGCAGCGTGTGCCAGCAGACATGGGATCCCACTTGTGACCCGAGGAGTGGCTCTGGCCTCCCATGTGGATGCCTTGGGGTTCTGGCATGGACGCTGATGATAAGAGCCCCTCGCCAGGGACAACTCATCTCCCTGGGGGACTGTAGGCAAGCCACCAACGGACACTGACACCTCAACCCTAGTACCTGTATAAAATCAGTGCAGCAAGTTGCTGATGCTCCTGGAGAGGTGAAGACAGGATGGAAGGAGGCTGAGCACACACTGACCAAAGCAAGTGGCAGCTCACAGCGTGCACTTAGCCACAGCTTCTGTGGCTGTGTCCCAGTACTGCTGGAATTCTGGGGTGACGGCAGAGCTGGCCTGGAGGGAAGTTCCATGTGGGCTCATGTCTGCATGCTCAGACGTACTGCTGGGATACAGCTGCCTGCTGCAGTGGTAGGGGCTGTATTTCATACTCCTGGAGGGCTGTTGCCAGCCCCTTGGCAAAGAGCACCTGTGGCTGGGATGGTCTCTTGCATGGACGTGGCACAGCTGAATATGCAGCCTCCCATCAGCATGGAGGCAGCCTCTTCCCTGCTCCCCATGCCTCAGTGCCTCTCCTGCTGTCTGCATGCACAAGACCACACTGGGCCTTACCTGCCTTGGCTGGGGCCCAGCACCTCTCTGAGACTGAATGAGCTGTGTTTCCTTTATTGTTTAATTTAACAAGGGCCGTTATCTGAAAAGTAACCTCAGCAGTGACTTGACTACGGTAGCATCTCCTGCATGGGAGGACGACAGCTGCCTTCCTGCTGCTGTGTGCTGCCTGAAACGATCCCAGGGCCTTGTTTCAGTGCTGCTGGGGCAGGAGTGCTTCCCTCCTTGCAGCTGTGCTGCAGGAAATTCCCTCCTGGGTAACGGCAGCACAGAACCTCTTCTTGTTACCACAGTCCTGAGCCTGGAGCCAGCCCTTCACTGCTGGTGTTTGGAGGCAGGAACTCTGCCTGGGCAGGAGTCATTTGTCCTGATGGCCCCTTGCAGGGGGCTCTGCAGCAGAGCAGAGTGGTGCTGCTTTCCCACCTGCTGTCATGCACCTCTGCTGGAACTGCTCTTGCGGGCAGGGCTGTGCCTGGCTCTGCGCAGGTGAGGTGGTGGCTATCTGCTGGCAGTGACTCTCTAGGGCAAGAGGTGGGTTCAGGCTGGGCTCAGGGAATGCTGAGACTTGTCCAAGTGCTGCTTGGGAGAAAATAAAAGCAAAGTACAAGGTGCAGAAGCACTTTGGAGGGGTGCAGTCGCTTGGTGTCCAGCGCAGAGAGGTGCATCTCTGAATGGGTGCAAAAGGAATGTGCAAAGGGGGGCACATGATCATGAAGCAGGTACCAGCTGTGCTGCTTCTTCCTTCCTTTGCCATTGGAGTGCAGCCCCCTGCCACACTCAGCCTTTTTGTGCAGAGATGGGGCAGATGACAGCCTGCTCTGCCCTTGCGTGCCTTAGCCCAAGGAGCAGAGCCCCATGGCAGAGCTGCTGATTGACACAAGGGCACAAGCGCTAACCCTGCCTGCCCCTGCCTGGAGCATGGCTCCCCAGGAGGGTACTGCAGGCACACACACTGCCTAAGAGCACACAGGCACAGAGCTGGGAAGGATCTGGTTTAAGAAACTACACAACAGCAAAACAAACAGGTACAAACGTACTGGAGTGTCCAACCCAGCCCCTGCAGCTCCTGGGGCATGTGAGGTGCTGGCCTGCAGTCAGCAACAGGCTCCTGGCAGCATGAGGGCCTGGGTCAGTGTCATAGCAGAGCCCCTGCCTGTGCTCACGGCCCCTTCTTGCTGCCTGTGGGCTTCTCGGTGTGGTGCTCCTTGCTCTCGCCCTCATCCCTGGCAGAGCATGAGACTGAGAAAGTCCTTGGTTGGAGTAAACATTACTTATCAACAACTAAAAACATCGGTGTTATCAGCATTGTTCCCAGGCTGAAAGTCAAAACCACAGCACTGCACCAGCTACTC